ACATTTTGGAAAAGGCAAACTGCAGAGACAGTAAAATGATCAGGGGTTGGGGTGAGGGAGGGACAGGGGAGCACAGGGGAGTTCCAAGGCAGTGAAACTACTCTGACTGACACTGTAATGGGGGACACATGTCACTATACATTTGTATAGAATGTACACCAAGAGTGAATGTAATGAACTGAAACTATGGACTTTGAGTGATGAGGACGCGTTGGTGTGGATTCATCTATTGTAACACGGGTGCCACTCTGGTGGGCGGTGTTGAGAATGGGGGAGGCTGTGTATAGAGGGAAGCAGAGGGTGTATGGGAACTCTCTATACTGTCTGTCTGCTCAATTTTTTTGTGAGCCCAAAACTGCTCTAAAAAATGAAGCCTATTTTTTTCAAAAAAGACTTCAAATAGGAGATGGCTACCTAATATGATTAAGGAACGGAGGTACCAAAAATAAGGCAGATGATGAGGTGTGGCTATTGGCGGGCGTGGTCCCACTAGGCTTTCTGAGAAGGTATAAGTTGGATTAAGGTTGAGGGATGATGGGATTTGATGAGTGGGAAGTGAGTAGGAGGGTGTCACTGGGAGGAGAAACAGCCTGAGCAAAGGCACAGAGGTGGAGTGCCATGGGCCCCATAGGACCGAGCGGCAAGCAGGAGTCCAGGTCACCAGCTGACAAGGAAAAGCACAAAGGTGCTGTGCAGCCCGGCCCATGGTTTTCTGCTAGCATTTGTGAAGTGGATGTGTTGATTGCGGTTTCCTGGTAGGAGACACTCAACAGTGCAAATTGCTAGGGTGCAGCTCTGAAATTCCGTCTATTTTCTACAACATGTGTTTGTTTATTACAGAGAGCTGTGATAACTCGAAGGTGTCGTGTCAGCCTTTTCTCATGTACTAGCTGAACTCAGTGACACTAGCATCTTGGATGCTGACAGATGGGATGCTATTACTGAACCACCAGGGAGGCTGCCCAGGGCTGGACTGTGTTTAGTGTAGACTAAACTGGACTGGTCAAGTGTGGGTCCACTTGACCTGGGTGAAGGCAGCAGAAACACCTCGAGATGGAAACCCCAGACCCATGTCAGTTACTCTAGTGGGTCTCAAACCTTGTCCTGGGTCTGAGTCACCTCAGGGGGGTTGTTTAAACATAGAGTGCTGTTCCCACCCCCTGCCCCCCAAGTTTCTGATTCAGTAAGTCTGGAGCATGGTCAGAGAATGTGCATTTCTAGCAAGTATGCAGGTGATCCTAGTGTTATACAAATTTACTCCGAAGCCCTATTGTTAACTTACGAAACTTTCCCTCTCCAGTTCTGCTTCTGTAAAGGTGTGCCTTAAGGCACTTCAGATTTGGGGAGAATAGTGAATGGGAGCCAAAATATAGAAACACCCAAGTGTCCATTAACAGATGAATGGACAAGTAAAATGTGATATATATCTCCATACAATGGAATATTATTCAGCCACAAAAAGGAATGAAATACTACTGATACCTGCTACCTCCTGTCTATATCAAGGTTCAATATGAATGAACCTTGAAAACATTGTATTAAATGAAAGATGTCAGTTCATAAGGCCACATATTGCATGGTTTCATTTATTTGAAATGTCTGGGAAAGGCCAGTGCATGGACACCGAAAGCAGACTGGTGGTTGCCAGAAGCTGAGGGTAGAAAGGAGTGAGGAATGCTGCTTACTGAGTTCTGTCTGGGATGATGAAGTTCTAAAACTAGACAGTGGTGTTGATTGCCCAACGTTGTGAATGTACTCAGTACCACGGAATTACACACTTTGAAATGGTTAAAACGATGAACACGGTCAATATTATGTTACATACATTTCACCACAAAAATAAATAAATTAAGAAGTGACGGTAGTGCTGTTCTAACTTAGATTGTGGGAGCCAGTTAAAAAGTTTACACTCCAAGATTAAGGCTGGAAATGCAAAGGGCCTTAAATTAGTGGTTCTTAGTCCTACTGAATGAAAAAAAATCACGTGGGGGGACTTCCTGTGATTCCCTTGTCTTACTTAGCTACTGCTGAGAGCAACTAAATTGAAATCTCTGGAGGTGATTTTAAAACTCATCCCCAACTGATTCTAACGTACAACTAGAATTGTGAGCACTGGCCTAAAATCTGGAGGGTCAAACAGACTGATGACTTACCTGCAAACTGACTTGAACTTCATCATGAACAATGTGATGGGAGCCTTCATCTTCTCCCAAGTTGCATTGGAAGTGATGTAGAGAGTAGAATGAAAGGACTTTGGAATCAGTTTGAAAATCAGCTCCACTCCCAACTAACCAGCTGTGTGACCTTGAGCAAACCATAACCTCTCTAAGCATTTGTTTTTGCCAACAGAAAGTAGGAGTTTGTTTTCTCCTATGGAAAGAACACTACTTCATAGCATTTTGTAGGGCCTACATGAAACAGGCCAGTTTCAGTTATGACGGTGTCAGACACGGTTTTGTCCTCATGCATCTCCTCATCTCCACTGCGCTGAGAGAGTCAGTGCCTTATTTATGTGAAAACCCTAAGCCTGTAGTGTCTCGTGCCATGAATTCAACTTTCTCCCTGCACCTGAGAGGAGGGACACATTTAGGTTGGGAACTAGTGATAATGGGCTCTAGAATCCATAATCCGGAAGCAGAGGAGATCGTTAGCCTGGTGGGAATCTTCTTGCGCTCACTCAGATTTTCTTTGAGTACCAAGCTTTTCAATATACTTCAATATAAAAAAAAATGCATGCACAAATTCTTAACAATAAATAAAATTATTTGGATATTTTCATGTTTCTGTCAGTTCTTAGTTGTAGGCAAAATAGTAATATGTTTTTATTTCACTATGACATAGATACAATTTTATATTCTGCTTTTTACTTAGCCCTTTATCTTCTACATTTGTCATGTTGCTAGAGTTCTTTATTATTGAAATTTTAATGACTTCACAGTATTTCACTGAGTTGCCTTATTATAATTTACTTTAATATTCCTCTATTGCTTTGATCCAAGTTTAAATATTAGAAATTGTGCTCAATGAAAATATTTCTTTATGTAACTTTTAACTTCCTGTAGCTTATTTTCTTAAAATAAAATTTCTGTAAGCTACTGGATCAAGGGACCTGAACATTTTAAGGCTCTTGAGTGTACCATCAAAGTGCTTTGGTAAAAAATTGTGTTGGTTTATGTTGTTACCAGCAGGGTGTTGGGTATATTGTTTTCAATAACTTGCCAGCACTGAATTTCATCATTTGAAAAAGGCTTACAAATTATATAACTATAATATAATTTATGCTAATAAATTAGTGTGTCCAACATTTTGGCATGCATAGCAGTCCTCCAATTCCTTTGCTGGTGGCATCCCACTATTCTGTAAATTGCTGGGAGGCAGTTGACAAGCCTTGCACATCCTAGAAAATCAATGATTATTTTTTGAAGCAATTAATAATTCAGGTAATTTCTCTTCCTAATAATTCTTCATATTTCTAAAGCAGGTGTTAAAAAAGTATTGTAAATTACACTTTATTTCACATATGCTGGTAGGTTCAAAGCTTTGTTTGCTGAAAAATCCTATGAAGATTTTCGCTTGGTGGAAGGAGATCTCCTTGCAGCACAAAGTAAAGCAGCTAAGTCGTCCCTTGCCTCTAGCCTGTCTTTGCACTCCATCTTGTCTCTGTGTTCTCTGGAAGAGCCTGCTCAATGTGAATAAAGGAAAAGCAATCTGCAGAGTGCATTGGCGGAAAATGAACACAAATAGGCCCTCCCTATGCTCTGGAGCTTAGTTTTCACTCATTCAAGCATATGTTCAATGATAGTGTTTGTACTTTGGTTTATAAACATCTCTTTTATAGTATGTTCTAGAATTTTTTCTGTGGATTGTTATCAACTCATATTTTTGTCAGGCTCTGAGTGACTCAGAACTGGCTGGGTTCAGGCTGTGGTGGGTTGCAGGACAGCCTGGAGTGGCAGGCAAGGCCGCAGCTAGTGGGGTGGTGAACGAAGGCAGCTTCAGTGGTAAATTAAGTGCAGAGGTGTCAGGGCTGGTTAAATTAGAGTGGAGAGTTGACTAGAATAATCTATGCCAAGGATGCATCAAGGGACAGGGAAAGATCAAGAATGGAATGAAGACAGGTACTCCTCTGGGGAGTGAACCAGCGGAACAGGGAAAGGCTGGAAGCTGATGTTTGACTGAAACCATAAACCACAAAAGCAGAGGGTGGGGAGGTGAAGCCAACGTGAGATAAGAATGGTCTTGGAGAAGTGAGCTGCCTCATGGGGCTCTGTCAGGGGACAGCTTCATTCCCTGTCTCAGCAAATGACACTACTCATTGTCCAAACCAGAAATCTGAGTGTCCTCCCAGAATCCTCCTGCCCACTTCCCATGCCCAATTTAATCACCAAGCCCTCTCATTTCTACCGCAGATATTTCTGCTTGTGATATTTCCTAAAACTGCCTGTTTCTCTCCATTGCTTTGTTATCTCACTCTAGAATCACTGCACGGCTACCTCACTGGTCCTCTTGCCTCTGAGATTTGGCTTTCCATTCAGTCTCCACACCATGGATTGAGTCCTTATTTTGAAGCACAAATTTGATCATATCTAGCCCCATCTTAAAAAGTCCTCCTGTAGTTTTTTTGGTACTTTCAGAATAAAATCAAGGCCGTAAGCCGGAAATAGCTGCCTGTCCCTCGGGAAGCCTCACCTTCCACTCCTGCCCACCTACCTCTTCCTGCACACCTCAGGCTCTGGCAGTCCATGGTCTGTGTGGCCATATTGTAGTTGCTCTTTTTTATGGTATTGAATATGTCACTCCTGCTGCCAGAAATATCCGCCCCCAACCCCACCCACCTAACTAATTGCTGCTCCACTCAGAATGTCTGCCTGGCCTACCGCCTGCTTCCCCTTCCCGTTGTGAGAATCTGACCTTCTCTGAGTGCTCTCATCTTATTTCTTTCATAGGACATAGTGATTCTATAGTGTAGTAATTGATTTATTTGTTTTTGTATCCTCTAGATTGTGAGCTGCTTGAGGACCAGAAAATATCTTGGGATTCCTGATACTTAACACAGTGCTTATCACCTGGAGGTGAACAAACAATGTTTTTTGAATCCAGTTGTTCATATATTCATATATTCAATATAAACAAGTGAACAGCCTTTTTTGAAGACCAGCCCTTTAAAAAGGTCTCTCTCTTTTTGAAGATTTTATTTCTTTATTTTTAGAGAGGGGAAGGGAGGGAGAGTGAGTGGGAGAGAAGCATCCATGTGAGAGAGAAACATTGATCCACTGCCTTTCAAAAGTACCCCAACCAGGGACTGAACCTGCAACCGGGCATGTGCCCTGACTGGGAATTGAACCAGCAACCTTTTTCTTTGTGGGACAACACCCAACCCAGTGAGCCACACCAGCCAAGGCTAAAAGTTCTCTCTCTTGAGACCTAATTTTCCTCTATCCAAGGCTCAGTCTATTGGTACATGATACTAACCATGTACTGATCTTCTCTTACTGGTGAGAGAAGGGCATCGTTATGTAGATGTCATTAATGTAGGAAGTATGACAACAGGTCAAATCTCCTAGTTCACAAGGAACTAAAGCTTTTTTCAGCTAAAATCCTTCAGTATCTTTGCTAGGACAGGAGGCAGTTGGCACTGTGGTTGTGACATGGCATCACAGAGGAGATGAGCATGAGAGGGGTAAATGCTGGCATGTGGATACAGCTCCAGTCCATCAGAATGGTTGACTGAGGCAATGGGAAATAGGAGTAGGAAGTATTATTTGTCTTCTTAGAGTTTTGTGTATGGGATAATTGGGTGGATTTGGGGGATTTTGGTGAGTATCTATACTAGGCTCCTGGGAGACAGTTTGCTCAACTTAATCTTATAGACAGACCTGTTCTGGTATAAGATTATGTATAAATTGGCCTGTCAGCAGAATGTTTGAACTGGCAGTTATTTCTATCTTGATTGCTTTTAGAGATTTTGGGGCTGGCAGGAACTGGGGTAAATGTAGCAGAACAAATGGGTGTTAGAGGGAAAATTTAACTGTAAGGAGCAGAGATTGCTTGGTGATGGCGGCAGCAGAGCACAGAGGAAAAGTGATCTTTAAACTTCTACTTTGCAAAAATTGAGTTATAAGCGGGAGCTACTTTAAGGAAGCAACAGAGATGAGAGCATATATAAAAATAAAGTGCATTTCACATGCACATGTGGGCAGTTGTAGCCACTGTGGATTTCTTGTGGGTCTGATAGAAATAAGCTATGTTAGTGAATGCATCAGTCCGTATGGTGAATAATAGTGAAAAGCTCTGCCTTGGGCAGCGCAGGATAATACTGGTTACACCCATAACCCAGTTACTGGGTTGAGTTACTGAGCAAATGGCAGAGACTGAATGAAGAGTTGACCCAGGAACACTCCTTGAATATGTCTGTTTTTGTTGGCATCTCCTTTTAGAACTGCTAGAGTTCCAACTTACAAAATGTAATGGCAGGTGCAAACTGAGAAGTAAGGCGTGGCCACCCTATCTAGGTATTGGGGGTTGCATAGGAAGTTTACCCTGTGGCCAGCACAGTGGCCAAGCAGCAGCCGGGGTCTGTGCCTTTTGCTTCTGATTTCTACTGAGAGATGCAAAGACAGCAAGGCTAAGCTGTGCAAACTTCTGGGCATTCTTACTCATTGCACCGGTTGCCTTGAACAGGCCAGATCATCCTGTGAGCCAGAACAGAAAACCTATGGTTCTGGATGTTCTGGATACTGTTGGATATTGATGTTGAATCAGTAGGTTTGATGCTTAGTTTCAGCCTCTCAGACTCTGGAAATGCTTGGGCTTGCACTGATCCATGCATGGTATAATGGAGTGCCTGATCCTACCTCTCTAGATGGGATCAACAGGATCAAAATAGAGCCTGATGGCCAAGTTCTCCTTTTCCCCTAGATGGTCTATATGTGTATCTGACCTATTCAATATGGTAGTCAGTAGCTACATGTGAGTGTTTATATTAAATTAATTAGTCAAAATAAGAAATTCAGTTGCTTAGTTACACTGGCTACATTTCAAGTGTTCAGTAACCATAAGTAACTAGTGGTTGTTGTATTGAACATTGCTTATTACAGAGCATTTCCACTGCTGAAGAAATTTCTGTTGGATAGTGCTAGTCTAGGTCTCTTTGCAGGAGAATAATCCATGGGATGTTAGGTTCCTGCTGTCTCCTATGCTGTTGGTTTTTAGACCAGGTGAAGACAGATGAGGTTCAATTGTGATGATGAAGTCCCCAGCCCCATCCCAGGAAAGGTTGCTGTGAGTCCTAAAGAGGTAAATCATTTCTTCAGGTCTTCAAAGATCCAGTGAATGATTCTTGACAGGTGATTCTAGACAGGTGTAAGTTTCTAACAGCTGTTTATTTGTGGGAAGTCCTTGAAGTATAAACACCGGTGACCTGAGCTGAAGGGGGAAGGTGTGTTAGGGATGATGTTGACCCATCTGGATGGCATGCTTGAAGTTGGTAGGACCCAGAAATTTGACTTCCATCAGCTGAAAAAAACTTTACTTCTACAGTTATATATTTAACCTGTAAATCAGGGCCTTCGGGACAAGGGGTGAGAAATTAACATGTACTTGAAACCTTTTCCCTAAAAGGTCATACACTGCTTTGCCATAGATAGATGATAGTCCTATAGTCCTATCTCATATTGTAGGCTTTAGCAAATACTCTGACAAATAATTTGTTCTGTGATGCAGCTAAATCTAACAAATGAAAGGGGGTTCTTCCCTTAAAAAATTGAGATATGTGATACCAATCTCATAAACTCTAATTCACAAACCCTGAGATTATGAGAGGCACTTAAAGTATAAATGGCATTAAGATTACCTTTTATCTTGTGGTAGGCAGAATAATGCCCCACCCAAAGGTGTTTGTTTTCTAATTTCCAGAAAGTGTAAATATATTCCTTTACATGGGAAAAAAAGACTTTATAGATGTGCCTGTGGTAAGGATCTTGAGATGGGGAGATTATCCTAGTTATGTGGGTGAGCCCATTGTAATCACATGAGCCCCTAAAAATAGAGAACTTTTTTCATTTGTGGTCACATGAAGAAATGTGATCAACATAAGAAGGGTCTGAGACATGCAACATTTTGGATTTGGACATAGAGGAAGAGGCTGTGAGCCACTGGGAAATGCAAGTGGCCTCTAACAGCTGATAAAAGCAAGGAAATAGATTCTCCTGTAGAGCCACTGGGAAAAATCCAGCCCTGCCCACACCCTAATTTTAAACATCTAACCTACAGAACTCTAACATAATAATTTTGTGTTGTTGAACATGCTATGTCTGTGGCAATTGTTAATAGTCGAAATAGGAAACAGATTCGTTTCTCAGAGAGTGGAGGATTATTAAATAACTTATTTTGAAAAAAATAACTGTTAAGAAGATGGAATATTCATGTTCACTAATTCATATATTTTTAGCTTGTAGACAATTCTGTGTGAAACCAAATTATAATAAAATTGTTGCTTGGTGAGCATAGAAAGCTTGCTTAGTAATTAGGCTGAGTTCAGAAGGCTATTATGTCTGCATCTGCCCCTTACTTATCTGGGTAGATGTAAGACCTCTGAAAGTACAATCCAGTAGAGAACAAGTCTGCCAAAAACTGGCCTGGTGAATTGGGCAGCAGCCATGCATGACTGGCACTGAAGACCTTTCAGCCATTTCAAAACTGTAACAATCTGGTTTTACTTTTTCACAAGGAGGACCAAAGAAGATGGATGGAAAATAAATCATTGTGGAACACTTGATCTTGAAGAACTATGTGGAGACAGCAGATGGGTATAATGGGATCTATACCCCAGTGAACACCAGTGCAAAGCTGGTGGTAATGCTTGTCATGGGCAAAGAACTCAGGATCACAGCTTCTGAGGATTGAACATTTACTCAACTCTCAAGTGTAGAATCACTAATGGCCTTGACATTCATGGTGTTTGTTTTGGCTCACGGTAGAGTGATATCCTTGAGTCACACCAATCTCTCTAAGGTACCTCAGCAGACCATGGCTAGGACTCTAGGATATGGAGCCATGGCACAGCAGAACTTGCTTGACTTCCAGAAGGCATTGCCTCACCTTCATAGAGAAAATATGTAATAGCTGTCACAAGGTACTCTGCAGTTCTGCCCACTAATTCTAACTCCAACTGGCTAGCTGATCATTTGTTCCCTTTCTTTTTTCATATATTAACAGCTTTATTATGAACTTAACTTCACATATAAAGTTAGAATGGCAATTACACTTAAAGTGAACTCATTAAAATGTTAAAATATAATATTATAGATATACATTATCCAAAATTCCAGAAGGCATTTAAACAGGTAGCAGATATTGCTACCCATTTTTGGACAGATAGAATAACAGCGTTACTGAAACTGGCTCCCAGACAAGTATGAACCATCTGCTCTCATGTCTTAGAGAAGAGAGGAAGTCAGGATACAGGCATTGTTGATGCAGTAATTTATGGACAGTTTTCCTTATAACAATGCCAAAATTGGGCCCACAGTTTTACTTTGTGAACCAGCTAATGACTGTTGCCCTTCTTCTGTTACTTGAGAGCTACCACTCACGGTGTTGATACGGTACCCATTTATTTCAAAAGGCACCAGAGATGGGAATATAAACCTATTCACAAAGGTGTAATAACTGCCACCTCAAATTCTTAGATGGTATCCACTGTTGGTCTATAATTGATCTTAGATAGTAGGACAGCATCATCTGGAAGTGACAAAGACTTGATCTCCTCTAGTAGTAGGAAAAAAGGCCATGGGTTCTCCCATATCATGGCTCAAACTGCTATGATTAGCAGGACAGTGGCCCAGCTCCTGCTGCTGGGCTGGACTGGGCAAGGCAGGGCTGGTATACAGGTGAGGCTAATGGGTGAATCCAAGCTGAAGGTAGAAGTGGTGCTCATTAAGGGGCTGGCTAGTGCAGAGAGAAGTTGAAAAGCATTTGGAGACTGTTTATGGGTCCTGGCAGCAACATAGCTGAGATGAAGGAAGAAGCATGCAAAGAAAGCCAGGCTGATAAAGGCCTGAGAACAAGCTGAAGCCAGCCAAGTAAGTACTCTGAAGGTAAGCTGAGGTTGCAGTGAGAGGAACTGGGGTGCCAAGGTCAAGAGTATGGTTTTTTCATTCACATGAAAGACTTGAGTTTAATCTTGTCCTGCCAATTACTAACATTGTGATTTAATCAATTTATTTAATCCTGTCTCAGTTAAATCATCTCTAAAATTATAAGAATAATATATCAAAAAAACTCCTGACACACAATAGCCCTGGACCAGGTGGTTTCACAGGAGAATTGTACAAAGCATTTAAAGAAGAGCTAACCCCTATTCTTCACAGACTATTCCAAAAAATCCAAAATAATGGAAGACTCCCAAACTCTTTTTATGAAGCCAGCATCATCCTAGTACCAAAACCAGATAAAGAGACAACAAAGACAGAAAACTTCAGGCCAATATCGCTGATGAGCATAGACGCTAAAATCCTCAACTAAATATTGGCAAATCACATCCAACAATACATTTAAAAGATCATACACCATGACCAAGTGGGATTCACCCCAGGGATGCAAGGATGGTTCAATATTCGAAAATCAGTCAATATAATACATCACATAAACAAAAGCAAAGACAAAAATCACATGATCATATCAATAGATGCAGGAAAAGCTTTTGATAAGGTACAACACCCATTTATGATAAAAACACTCAGCAGAGTGGGAATAGAGGGAGCATTCCTCAACATAATAAAGGCCATATATGAGATACCTACAGCCAACATCATGCTCAATGGGCAAAAACTAGAATCTTTTCCACTAAGGTCAGGAACAAGACAAGGTTGTCCACTTTCACCACTTCTATTCAATATAGTATTGGAAGTTTTAGCCACAGTGATCAGACAAGAAAAGGAAATAAAAGGCATCCAAATTGGAAAGGAGGAAACAACACTGTCATTGTTTTCAGATGACATGATAGTATACATGGAAAATCCTATAGAAGTTGGCAAGCATTTGGACAAACACTTCTCCAAGAAGGACATACAGAGGATCAAGAGACACATGAGAAGATGCTCAATATCGCTAGCTATCAGAGAGATGCAAATTAAAACCACAATGAGATACCACTTTACATGAGTCAGAACGGCCATCATAAACAAAGCAACAAACAACAGGTGTTGGAGAGGTTGTGGGGAAAAGGGGACCCTAGTTCATTGTTGGTGGGATTGCAGACTGGTACAACCATTATGGAAAACAGCATGGAATTTTCTCAGAAAACTAAAAGTGAATCTGCCTTTTGATCCAGCAATTCCACTGCTAGGATTATATCCTACGAACCCTGAAATACCAATCCAAAAGAACCTATGCACCCAATGTTCATAGCAGCACAATTTACACTAGCCAACTGTTGGAAGCAACGGAGGTGCCCAGCAGTAAATGAATGGATCCAAAAATGATGGTACATTTACACAATGGAATTCTATGCAGCAGAAAGAAAGAAGGAGCTCCTACCCTTTGCAACAGCATGGATGGAACTGGAAAGCATTATGCTGAGTGAAATAAGCCAGGCAGTGAAAGACAAATACCATATGATCTCACCTTTAACAGGAACCTAAATAACCAAACAAACAATCAAGCAAAATGTAACCAAAGACACTGAAATAGAGAACAGGGGGACAGTTACCAGAGGGGAGAGGGGAGGGAATTTCAGGGGAAAAAGGGGAAGGATTTACAGGAACTAGTATAAAGGACACATGGACAAAAGCTAAGGTGGGTGGAAATGGGAGGGAGGTGGGGAGCACTGGTGGGGAGTAAATTGGGATGGGAGTAAAAACCAGAAAACTGTACTTGAACAACAAATAAATAAATTTTAAAAAAGAATAATATATACTCTGCAGATGATTTAAAGAGTTAAAAATAATGTATATGAAACACCTCACATACTCTTTCTTCAGATTTTATTTATTTATTCTTAGAGATGAGGGGAAGGGAAAAAGAAAATAAGGGAGAGAAACATCAGTTTGAGAGACAAACATCAAGCAGTTGCCTTTCACACTTGCTGAGCCCTGGTCCACAACCTAGGCATGTGTCCTGACTGGGAATTGAACCAGCAACCTTTTATTTTATGGGTTGATGCCCAGCCAACTTAGCTACACAGATTAGGGTCATACTATTTCTTCAAATGGGTTCAGTAGTAATTTCAGGAGTCTAAATATTCTCTACAAAAAATGTTCTCCATTCTTAACTTTTTTTTAAACATAGATTTTTTTTCAGAGCAGTTTTATACTCATAGCCAAATTGAGCAGAAAGTACAGAGTTCCCATATAGTCCCTGCCCCACACATGCACAGCCTCCCCCACAATCAACATTCTTCCCTACAGTGGTGCCTTTGTTAAAATCAATGCACCTACAATGACACATTGGTATCATCCGAAGTCCATAGTTTACATTAGGGTTCACTCTTGGTGCTGTGTATTTTATGGGTTTAGACTAATGTACGTGTATCTGCTATTATAGTATCACAAAGGATAGTTTCCCTGCCCTAAATATCCTCTGTGCTGTCCCTACTTATCCCTCCTGCACCCCACGCAACCACTGATCTTTACGACCACTGATCTATACTGTCTTTACGACTTCCAGAATATCATATAGTTGGAATCATATATAGCCCTTACAAAATGGCTTCTGTCACTTACTAATATACACTGAAGGTTCCTCAATGTTTTTTCGTGTCTGGATGTACCACAGTTTATTTATGCATTTACCAGCTCTTAACTTGTAATCCAGTGCTTTTCAAACCAGGAGTCTATGGATCTCTTTGGGACTGAACATGTATTCTTGACGACTCAAGAATAAAATTTGAGAAACACTAGCCTATCATAGAGTAGGTGCTCAAGAATTGTAGGTAATTAACAATATGGTTATTACCCCTACAAGAGAAGGTAACAGTGCAGTGCAACCAGGTTGCCATGGAAGGCTTTCTAGTCATATCAAAGTCTTAGCAATCTGGTTTTATTTTTTCACAAGGAGGACCCAGGAAGATGGATGTAAAATAAATCAGTGTGGAACACTGGGTCTTGAAGAACTATGTGGAGACAGCAGATGGGTATAATGGGATCTGTACCCCAGTGAACACCAGTGTGACGCTGGTGGTAATGCTTGTCATGGGCAAAGAAATCAGGATCATAGCTTCTGAGGACCGAACATGTTCTCAACTGAAGCCTGTGTTCATAGAATTCACCCCAGAGAGGAGAACTTGTCACCTGGGTTTGCAGTTAAACTGATTTCTGTGGGCAGGGTGGGTATGAGCTTCCTGGACAGGTGCCTGGGGCTGCCTAGTCTTCAAGGGGCACCTCCTCAGGGCAAACACTGGACATTGCTATGACCTGACAATTCTAACAGCCCCATAGTTGAAACTTGGACATTTTCTCATCTTAGGTGTTCTGGCTCTGTTCCCTTGCTCTGTGATTTTTCAGAGATTACAGCATTATTCCTCACTTACTGGAGCAAAGTCTTCCAGTTCCCAGGCTGTAATTTAGGAGGCCTAGAGGCCTGGACTCATACAGAGTTGCTTAGGCCTCTCTGACTATCTCTCTGTCCATCTTCAGTTTTTCTTCCCTCTCAGCCATCTGTGTTCAGCTTCACTGGTGCTGGAGAGTCTGCTTCTAGGCATCAGGCACAGAAGTAAAACTGCAGCTGGGCAGTTCCACCATCTGTCCCCCATCTACTCCAGGCCATCACCTCTCTCATTCACTGATTTGCCCCAAACACAATTTTATCAGGTCTATTTTTGCTCTCTGAGTATTGCACAGGCCTGAGGCCAGAGCTGGCACAGCACCCCAGCCTCTTCTGTGACGTCTTGTCCTTCTTACATGCTCCTCCCTCCACCTCCTCACTGAGACTTTCCTTGTGCTGACACAGCAGGGTTTTAGGGTCCTCCTCCATGTTCACTTGGATTATTCCTAATTATATTTTCACAACTTTATTTTTCTAGAGCTTTCTACATTTCAAGTCATATTTCTTTTTAGCGCTGTGTTATTACCCCTGGCTGTGCATTGGAAGGACTTGAGCAACCTTTAAAGAGCAGCAATGCCTTGCCCTGACACAGACCAACTGAACCAAGTCTCTGGGATGGGCCCAGGCAGGGATATTTTATTTTAGGTGTCCCAGGTAACCATAAAAGAAAAGAGTCTTAAAATGGACTTCATCAGTTCTAGTCAAGATGGAGGGGTAGGTAAAAACCCTTCGCTTCCTCGCAAAACCAGGAGGATTACAACCAATCTAAAATTAATAATCGAAAGTGCAGGAAAATCCAAATGCATGCAGCTCCAACAACCAAGGAATTAAAGAAACAATCAAACAGAAAAACCAGACCCGTAAGAACCCACCATGAAGTGGCTGACCATGTGGGCAGGGCCCACTGAGAGGAACCACAATGAGGTGGTGGACCGTATAGCCAGAACTGGTGCAGTTGGGCTGAGTTGACTGCACTGAGGCAGCAGACTACATGAGCGAGGCTGGCTGAACAGGAAACAAACTCAGACCTCACTGTGGACTACTGCAAAACACCCAGTCTCACATGAAACTGAGTTTCAATGGAAAGTGTGATAAAGCCAAGCCAGCAAGCTGCATTGTTCCCTCTCTGGCCTCTCCCCCACAGGGAGCAAGAAGAATTGGCCTGCCAGGGTGAATACCTGAGCCCTCCTGCCGCTTACAACTTATCAGGTGTGCTGAGACAAAGAAATATGGCCCAAA